TATATATATATATATATGCAGATATTTTCCAAGCGTAGCTTAGATGTGGCACAAGGCCGAAAGTATGGGGCATCCAGTGAGGATCGAACTCGGTTTTCAATAGTAACTGATCTAGCAAGACAAGCTTGCTAACAATTACACCACACCGAGGTGCCCTTTGTATATATGTATGTATGTATATGTGTGTGTATACTGTCTTCCTACTACTCTTCTATTGTTTTCGCTCCTTAATAATATTTAATAATATTCTGTTTTCCAATTAACACAATCCTTGTGTCTCAGTGGCTTTATTTCCATTGTTTGGAGTGATCTCCATTATAAAGAGAAATTTAGTTTATTTGGCGCGGAACATCTAAGGGAGGTTCACTTCAACGGTGAGTCATCGTGTTTAGATTTGCCTTGAGGCAAACATTTCATGTGGCTATCTCCTGAAATAATCTGCAAAGTCCCAGGTTACCCTGGGTCCTATTTGACCCGGAAGTTGGTGTTTCATTTAAGAGGGGAGGTTCACTGGGGTAGGAATTGAGTGGGCGTGTTCAAGGAAACAAGCACGAGAAAAGAAAAATGAAAGAAGCTCGATAATCTAACAACATGATTTCCAAACTTGTTTCTCGTTATTTATTTATTGTTCAAAAGAAATCCCCCCCCCCAGGGAAGCTGTGTTGAAACGAAATAAACCTTTGTTTAGCTAAAGGTCACGCATATTCCTTTTTTTTTTATCTTTATATTGTTCCTTCTCCTTTTATTTTTTTATCGACATTGATGATGGGCTGAATCGTAACTTGTAGTGTGGGACACGTGCGTCGTGACTAAAGACATTTTCCCAAGTGGATACATTTGTAGCGAAATCGATTTTTGTACAATAAATATGAGTTAAAGAGAAAGTCCATATATATTTACTTTTACACGCGCACATGTACACACACGAATATATATATATATATATATATATATATATATATATATATATATATATAGATAGATAGATAGATAGATAGATAGATAGATAGAGGTTGTCCATAAAGGTCGTGTGCACTTTAAAAAAATTATAACTTTATTTGTATTTGCGATAGAAATAATCTGTAAAAAATGTTATAAAGTTTAATATGCCTAGTTTTAAGTATAGCTAAAATAACTAATGTGATTTCAGGCATTACTGTAAATCAGTTTGCAAATGTTTTCAGTGAACTGCAAAATCGTATTACCCTTTATATTGCTAATGACGGAGGACATGTGGAAACTTAAATAACATTTCAATAAAACCTTATATATATATATATATATATATATATATATATATATATTTATATATTTATAATATATTTTTTACAAAAAATTATTTCTATCGCAAATACAATTAAAGATATTAATTTTTAAATTGCACACGAACTTTACGGAAACCCTGTATATATATACATACATACACACACACACACATATATATATATATATATATATATATATATATATATATATATATATATATATATATATATATTTGCACACACACACACACATATATATATATATATATATATATATATATATATATATATATATACGTGCAGGTGCAATGGATAAATTGTCGTCTAAATTACGACAAAATTAAAATAACACTGTTATCTCATTTTAACAGAAATATTTAACAAAATTACACAAACATATCTTAAAATGCTAAAGAGTAAATTTATTCAATAAAATCGGCATTAGCTTCAACCACGGCCTCCACCCAACTTTGGAATCTCTTGTGATTCTTCTGGAACATCTCCTTTAAGTTGAGGAATGCTACCATAATCCTTGTCTCCAGTTCTTCTTTGGTGTTGCAAGGAATTTTGTTCTGTTTCTCGCTCAACTGCGCCCCATGCATAATAATAAGCAAGTGTGTTGCAGTCTTAGGTTGTCAAAGGTAAGAGGTGATGTGTTTGCAGAAATTATCTAACAGCCATGACTGGGTTCTGTTGCTTGTGTACCATAGTGCAGAGTCCTGTTACCAGACATAGGATCCTCCAGCAGGCACCCTCTTGAACCAGGCCAGTACTACTTCCTCAAAGCTCTTGAGACTTTCGTGTTGAGTCTGAGGCTCTGTGGGAAGATGAGTGGAGGCATAACGTCACCATCACTACTCCAAACACCTAGACTCATCCAATTTTTTCCGAATACTCTGTACTGTTCTCAAATTGACACCCAGACACTGAAATATTCGTATTGGAGCTTCCGGAGCGAATGCTAATCAGTACAGCATGCTGTTTCCAAATTTCTAGCGGAATGAATTGCATCATGGTGCTCTTTTTCTCACAGACGGTGCCCAACTGACCCTACTATACTGTGAAGTCGACAAAATCAAACACAAAACGCATGCGCAAAATTAAAATATAAAATGGTGACAATTTTCCCATCGCACACTTTAGACAGAGACTTGATAGGAGGTGCTAAATATATTTAGACCCTTTTAAAAGAGATTACAAAAGAATCTTCTGTTTTAATCTCGCCAGATTGTTACGGAATTTTTCATCACCTTTTTTTCTATATATGTGTGTTTGTGACCCTACCAGGATTGTCGGTGGCCACAATCTTAACGATATAAGATACGCAGATGAAATCGTGTTGATGGCAGACACAGGGAAAAATACTGAACCTCCAAGACAAAGAAGAAAAGTTAAACGCGAAGAAAGGACGAATCAAGACAGAATGTATGTTTGTCACCAAGAAAAAAATATCTATGGTGTGAACTACAATGGGAAAATATATAAATCAAACAATACAGAAGGGGAAGTGTTTTCACAGAAGGTGGAAAATGCGACACCAAGATTCGAACACGCTTTGGAATAGCCTAAGATGTATTTCAAAGACTAAGTAAACATTATTCTTTTTTTTTTCTTTTTTTTTTTTAGATCGGGTTCACTCCAAGCAAGACGGTAGAGCCACTAAGACATAAAGGGTTAAAGAATGTTGAAGAATTAGGAAAAAAAAAACATTGATAATGATTAGGAAGAGAAAAAAATAATAATGATGGTCAGTAGATAGCTATTGACATTGCATTTAAATTTTTGAAGATTAGAATTGACTGGAAAGCATGGAACCAGAAAGTAATTTCACAGGCGGGAAGTGCGAGAAAAGAAACTGTAAGCATAAAACTTCATCACGGCTACATCTCGGTAGCTCAACTGTAAATTGATGAGACCTTGTCGCCATTCCCATACTGCGCTTAAACCCATAAAGTCGAGGTGGAATACCGGATAGCGGCTCGGATTGAGGAATTGGAGAGCCGAGTTCGAATTTCAGTTGAATCCATTACATTCACTTACGTGCTAATACCCTTGGGAAAGGTATTAATCATCTTCTTCTTCCCTCCAGCTAAGGGTAAATAGCAGGACAGACCGGATTCTCTAGCCTTGGATGGCAACTGGTCTACCGCAGAAAGGAATGACAACCATCTGCGGGAAAAAAAGATCTGCCTCGTCAGTCATGTATCGAAAGATACATGATCGCCTAAGCGTGTATCACGCATAGCACATAACTGACTGACCATAGAGTTAGATCAGCTACTGGATCCTTATCCTCTAGATTTTTGGGAGTTCTACAAAAGACTACTCTCATGGATTTGAGAAAATAAACTTTGATTAACAGCAAATTCTAAAGACATGAAATTCTGGCCGGCCTCCATTTTTATCGACACGGCTATTTTCATGGCACTTCGTAGCACATTAGGTTACAACGTGGGCCCAAGATTAAATATCCCTTTTCCCTCTTTGTATATATAAAATTGAAAAAAATGGTTATGTCACTCTGAAGGAATCTCATCAATAATAAGTACATATTCCCCACGTATAATGCCCCTTCATCTATAATACGCACCCCTAAAATTATGCTGAAAGTGTGGGAAAATGCTTCTACTCACGTATAATACGCACTCCTTGTTTGGTAATCAAATCCTATAAATTGTACCTCTCCAATTTACTTGCAGCCAGCGTTTCCTACTCTCATTTAAAAGAAAATGGTTTTAAAAATAGAATAATATTATTCTAATTTAGTTTCATGATGAGTTTTATTTTTATTTTTTTAAACATTTGTGCAGCTGTGCATAATACGAACTCCCGATTTCGCTTATTATTTTTCTAGAAAAAAAAAATGCGTGCTATACATGGGGAATTACGTTATGTGCCATATGTAATACACGCTTAGGCGATCATGTATCTTTCGATGACGAGGCGGATTTTTTCCCGCTGTAGGTTGCTATTTCTTTCTGTGGTAGACCATTTGCGATCCAAGACTATAGAACCGGGTCTGTCCTAATATTTACCCATAGCTGGAGGGAGAAGAAGAGGATTCATACCTTTTCCAAAGGTATTATCACATAAGTGAATATAATAGATTCAACTAGAATTCGAACTCGGATCTACGATTTCTCAATTCGAGCCGCTATCCATTACGGCATTTGAAAGTTAAAAGGAAAAAAGGAAGAAACAGCAGGATTCATACTTGACGAACTTCCATGAATGGATGACGGAACGAGGTGTAGGTGGGATGGCAAAATACAAACGGGATAGGACGTTGCAGAGAGCCATAATCCACGCATTATGAAGGGGCACGGCACATAGAAAAAGAAAGTGTATTTAACCGTGAAGAGTGGATCAATTTATCCGTAGTTTTTAGATTAATTTTGATCTGAAATTTTCAGCGTATATAGTTCGGTCTGAGTGACTAATATTCGTCACCGATTGACACCCGCGTCCAAAACAGAAGGGTCTTTCCGCTGGTTGAAATTTCGAGTTTTTCTAGAATCCCGACCAACATTATTCCACATCATCCAACATATATTTCATTTTCCATATTTTCCATTCCGCACTATTTAAATTCATTTTCCTTTCTATAATAAATGAATTTTGAATGAACTCAAAATCATTCATTCGATTGCAAGAACTGCGTCAATTTTGAATGCGAGATTTTATGTTGAAAAATAGACATTTCTGAAATAAATGGTTTTTCCATCATTTGGTTAGTGACTGAATTGCTGTCTACATACATACGTATCTATCTATCTATCTATCTATCTATCTATCTATCTAAATCTGTTCATATCTATCTAGTTATTTTCCACGCAAAGCTTAGATGTGGCACAAGGCCGATAGTACGGGGCACCCAGTAAGATATCGAACTCACTATTCAGTCGTAATTGTTCTAGCAAGACAGGCTTGCTAAACATTACACCGCCTCGAGGTGACCTATCTATCTATCTATCTATCTATCTATCTATCTATCTATCTATCTATCTA